GGGCCGGGCACGAGGGCTGGGCCCACCGGTCGAGCCGAACCTGCTGGGGCGCCCCGGGTGGCCTGACGCGGCTGGTACCAGAACCGGCTTTTGGGTTCTTGTGGGTGTGATAGTGAGCTTCCCGTCCCCGGAGGTGTGCAAGTGGAGTCTGCGCTGGGATCGCTCGGGCTGATGAGGCGGGGCTCCGCGCTAGACTCACGCCCCCTCCCAGCGTGGGGACTGGCTCTTAGTGCCCCAGATGCGGATGCCAGGAGGCGTGTTTGGAGAAGCAGCAGAGGGAGTGGTTACAGGGCCTCCTATTCATAACAAGGACAAAGCCGCGCAGGTCCCAGGCAGGTGTCAGCCTCCAGGTGTGTGGCCACACAGCACACCTCCAGGTGTACCGTGGGGCGGAGGATAAAGGAAGAGCTGGGGAGAACTGGATGTGCGTGGAGGAGATGCCGCCCCCTCAGCACCTGTGGGAGACAAGTTTGGAAGACTTGGAACCAGGGGACCATGAGTGTGAGTGACAGTGTGTGATCATCGGGCAGTGTCAGAAACAAAGGCGCGGGTGAGACCCTCAGAAGGCACAAGGGTGGGGAGAGAAGGAAGGAAGGGGAAATGTGCTCAAGAGGGCATGGCAGAGTGGAGAGAGGAGGGACTGGCACGGCTGGGCTTTAGGTACCATCACAGAGATAGTTCAGCATGGCCTGGGGCCAGAGCCTGGACCACTGTAGGCCTGAAGGCGCCTGGGGGTCTGGCCTACTCTGCCCCATAGCTGAAGTGTCCAGCCAGCTCAGGTGACGGTGGGAGTGAGAGGGTGACAGCCTGCTCAGCCACGCCTGCTCTCATGGCCAACTTTGCCTGCCATTGGCTGTGGGAGCAGGGGCTTGCTGGAAAAGTGGGGGAGAACGGATGTTCCTTGGCCCCTCTCAGTCCCCTAGAACTTAGACCAGAGTCAGGAGTCACCCTTGGTAGCAGTTAAACCAATGGGTGAAGGCATTGGAGAGATGTGGTTTGACCCACGTGACACTAGGTAAGCAGTAAGCAGTCTTCCCCCTCAGGACCTCATCTGCTCCACCTGTATAATGAGAGGATGCGGCTGGAGGGGCTAGCAGTACCTACTGCTGAGCCTTGAGGATTAAATGAAGCAATGCCATGTATGCAGGAGACACTCTGTCACCTGCAGCTGCCACTCCGATGCTTGCGCAGGTTCAGTGCTGGGATTAGGGGCTGGCCAGGGTAGGAGGTTTCTGAGCTGGTCTATTGTCTGTCCCTGCAGACAGGCAGGGAGCATTTGGGGTCGCCCTCCAGCATGTTTATCCCTAGGCAGTGGTCAGCGGGGCCAGAAGAGCTCTGTAAATATTTATCCATCCCAGTTCCCAGCTTTCAGGGTTGATGAAAGCCCCACAACCCAGAGGGACAAAGCTGCTTACCTTTCTGGGGCCGGCAGTGGGGGTGGGTGGAAAGGGGCTGTTACAAGCGCGAAGAAGGTCAATATGTCTGCCCGGGTGGGCAGGTTACTTGACCTGTCTGAGCCTCTGATGGGCATGATGCATCACAGAACTGCATGGTGATGCCCATCTATCTTCTTCACAGCCTGACAAAGTCCCTTCTCTCAGGGTTGCCACTTGCTGACAGCAGAAGGCATAGTTGTGGTTAATTATCCCCATTGGAGTGAAGACAAACTGAGGCCCAGAGAGGGATACAACTAGCCTGGTCTTACACAGTGGTTTCCCAGCCTGGGGTCTTCCCGTATCTCCCCTCTACCAGTGACTGCCCACTTTGTGGATTAGAAGTTGGCTCAGAGGTTGACCTTGAGTCTCTTGAGCTTAACCAGGAGACTGGGTCAGCCAAGAAATTCCTTGAGTGTGTCTGAGACTATGGGGTTGGTGGCTGCCAGACTCAGGGGGCGGGGGTGGGCACATTGAACAGGCATCTAGAGTGGGGCAGCCCAAGGGAGGCTACTGGCTGAGGAAGAGGGAATGTACTAGAAGCAGAAATACTTCTCAGGAATGTGGATTTGGGAAATAAGCCAAAAGCTGGGGGATAGGGGTGAGGGAAAGCCCTGCATGGGGGAGGCATGAGCCCCAGGTCTGAGCCCAGCTTTTGCTTGACTTGCTTTGTGACCCTGGACAAAGTTCTCAATCTCTCTGGACTCTCTTTCATGCTCTAGGAAATAGGGTGATGAGATCACTGTGCCTAGCAGTGTATCTCACTGGATCCCAATAGTCCTGGGAGGACCAAGAATTTGGGAAAGTACATTCCAAAGTGTGGAAAGGAAGGAACTATGAGGGCAGAGGGCAGGGTCAAATAAGAGTGCTTTTCTGTGCCAGATGCCACAGTGGGCATTACAGAAGGATATCAATTTGTCAACATCCCAGTTTGACAGATGGGGAGGTTGAGGCTGAAACAAGGTAGTTACTTGTCCAGTGTCACAGTGGCATAGAACTAGGCTTTCAGTCAGGCGTGGTGGCACATGCCTGTAATCTCAGCACTCGGGAGGCTGAGGCAGGAGGATCTTTGTGAGTTTGAAGCCAGCCTGGACTATAAAGTGAGCTCAAGGCCAGCCTTAACTGCATAGTGAGACCCTGTCTCAAAAAGACCCCCCCCCCACAAAAAAAGAGGCATTCAGAACCTCAGAGCTTGGCGCTGTGCCACACTGAGAGTGCCACCCATGACACAGGGGTCTGGCTGAGGACTTGAAATCTCACGGAGGAAGGAGAGGAAGGCACAGTGAGGTGTGCATCCATGATCTTTCCTCCCTTCGTGGCTGGCTGCACCAGTCTTCACTAGGGAGCAGAGGAGAAAAGAGATTTCTGGGATACACAGAGCTGGCAGGCTGGACTCTGGGCTGTTAGGGGTTCCCAGGGGCCAGACCCCTTGTAGGCTTGAGGGAAAGACTGTGTTTATCCTGTAGGCTGGACTGGGTGGGCAGGCCCTTGCATTTAGTCACATAGACTGCCGTCCAGACTCTCAATGTGAGACCTCAGATAAGCACTGTCCCCGCCTTATGGCATGAGGGTGTTGGGCTCCCTGAGCCCCACATAGTACTTGGGAAATAGCAGGTGCTTAATAATTTTCCATTCCTTCTCTTCTGTCATGAAGATGAGGTCAGCATGGGTCCCTTTTGCAGGGAATAGATACATCTCCAAGAACAAAGTGGGCAGCAGGGAGCAGGTAGCTTGTGAGCTCAGAGGGTCCTGTGCCCTGCCAGATGTTATCTGAGCAGGTTCCTCCTCTTCTTCATTGGCAAAATGGGTACAGTGATGGTGGAGTTGGTGAGAGGTTCTATCCTGGGTACTAAGAGCAGGTGGGTGCAGCTGTGGGCAGGATCCTAGCCCGCCACAGGAACAAATACTTACTAACAGGTAGCCCAGAATCAGCTGGAACCACAACCTCGGGAGGCTGCGTACCGGGAAACCATGCATTAGGCAGTCCCTGAAATTAGGAGGAAACTGGTCTAGGGCCTCACATCCTGAGTAACTCCAAGTACCCTGATGGTCCAGAAGTCCCTTTCATTGTGGAGCATTCTTAAAAGCTGAGTCCTCAGCTTTGGAACTTAGAGCTCCTGATCTGAGCCCTGGAGCCTGGGCGAGCTGCCAGGGGCTGAGGCTGAGGGCGGCCAGGCTCCTACCCCAAATATGGCTATGGGAAGGCTGCGCCCGCCCCGATCAGACAGGCCCGGACCAGACAGGTGCCAAGTGTTTCTGCAAACAGCATGGCTCCATCCCTCTTCTCCAGCCTAGGAAAACACTTGGCTTTTGTGTACTATCTCTATCCAGGTCTTTGCCTTTGGCCTGGGGCATCAGAATCCTCACTTGGCCCTGCCATTCCCTTCCTGGGTAACCGCTCTGAGCTTCTGCTTCTTCATGCATGAGAACTATGACTTCTTTCTGGGGGACTTGCAGAGGCTGGGAGGATACAACTCAGGTCAGAATTGAGGCTTGGGCAGGTGGGCCTGGTGTCAGGTAACTGGCTGCCCCACCCTCCTTACATGAAAGGGGCAGGCACGTCAGGATCTAGCTCCCACTATGTGTCCAGCCATAGCGGGATGTGGACAGAACCATCTCTGCTAGAAATTAGACCTCAGGGGGCTTGGGGTGTCACTCAGTGGTAGAAAATATGAGACTCTGGATTCAGTCCCCAGGACCCACCCCCTGAAAAAGGAAGTCAGACATTGATTACCAGGTGCCCTTACCAGGTGCCTGAGTCTGTGCTAGGCACACACCATCTTGTTTCATCCTCAAATCAACATGGTTGGGATGGGATTATTACCACCATCTGTCAGGTGACCAACAAGGCCACATGGTAGGGCTGCAGCCGTCCAGCGTGGAGCATCCTGGGCAGGAGAAAGGGCAGAGACTGTTTACCTACCTGGGGGCTGGGTGTGTCTGAGCTCAGTGGACATCTGATGAAAGGGAGGTGGAAGTGAGTTTGCTGAGAGCTGGTGGGGAGAGCAAGAGGAGCTTGTCTGAAGTTTCCCTGGCAGCATTTTTGGTGTGCACTTTGAGTATGTATGGAGAGCACAGTTGGGGGCTCATAGGCTCATAGTCTCTCCATCCAGACCACACTGGCCTGAGCAGGGAAGGGAGGGAAGGGAGGAGGAGAAAGCTTGATTCCTTGGAACAAGTTGTCAGGAAACCAGTGTCAGCCTAGGGCCAAAAGGTCCTGCCATGTGCAGACGCCGCTGCCAGCCGCTCACTTTGCCTAGTGACACAGTATACTGGGGTTGCACCATGCATCTAACCCGGGACCATGAGGACCTGAGGTCTAACCTGGCCCTTGTATCCTCTTTCTTGCCCAGGACACCCACTACCACCACCCCCTTGTGAGTAGGAGGCAGCAGCCCTGGCATGCAGCTCTGTCTAGTAGCCTGGCCTCTGATTCTGCTGTTCAGGAGGCCCCCAGGCCTGCTGGTGACCCCAGACCTCCACGCTGTGGTGTACCTGACCCACCTGATGGGCTGAGTGCCCGCAACCGGCAGAAGCGCTTCGTGCTGTCTGGCGGGCACTGGGAGAAGACAGACCTCACCTACAGGTAGGGGCCAGAGCCATCAGAGCAGGACTGTGTGTCTGTGTGAGAGCCCGTTGCCCTCACCCCTGCTTCCTGAGACACATGCCATGGCTTAATCTACATGGCTAACAGATCCATTCGTGTGCTTCCAGCCATCCATGAACTAACAGCCTGACTGCTGGCTTAGACACACACATGGACTCATACCCTCCTGCAGCACAGGGGCCATCCCCTGTCATCACCCAGAGAGTCTCAGTGTATGCCTGGAGATAGGTGTTTCTGTAAAGGCCAGGCCTGGGACTCCATGGCGAAATAGCCGTGTCCTCCCAGGGATGGTGGTCAAATCTACCATCACAGTTTAGGCCATGTATAGCTGTAAACTATGGTGAACAGGGATAGGGAGTAGCCTGCTCTTCACCAGATGGCCTGGGAGGCTCCTGAGCAGGTGAGTAGGAAGCTGAGACTTAACCGAAAAGAGAAGAATGATCTAGTGTCACACAGCATTGGAACTGAGACTGTTGGGGCCTTGGGAGTTCCTTGAGTGGGGAACTAGGAATGAAGATGGAGCTTAAGAACACAGAGGTGTGGGTATGGTGGGCACTGGGAAGGCTGAGGCAGGAGGATCACTATGAGTTCGAGGCCAGCCGGAGCTACAAAGTGAGTTCAAGGCCAGCCTGAACTACATGTTGAAACCCTGTCTCAGATGAAGAAAAAAAACAAGAAAAAAAGGACCCATAGTCTCCCCACAGTGAATGGAACTGTCAGGTCTCAGGATTCATGCTCCCACGTTCTTTCTACCAAATGCAGAACTGTATACATCTAAATCCATACAAGCCAATACAAAGGATACACCCACATGGCCAGGGACACTTCCTGGCTACAGCTGAGACCCAGAGCACTCCTGACCCTGGCTCTTGCATACATACACATACCGCACATTCAGGGGCAGCTCGGCTTTTTCATCATCGGGGGCTTCCCTGCCCCAGGGTCAGACTCCTTGCCTCCCCCCAGAATCCTCCGGTTCCCATGGCAGCTGGTGCGGGAGCAGGTACGGAAGACGATGGCAAAGGCCCTACAGGTATGGAGCGAGGTGACACCACTCACCTTCACTGAGGTGCACGAGGGCCGTGCTGACATCATGATCGACTTCACCAGGTGAACCTGCAGCCTGGGACCCCTCCGGGAGCAAACCCCACTGCCAGCAGCCACTGACTCTGCCCCTACCCACCCACAGGTACTGGCATGGGGACAACCTGCCTTTTGATGGGCCTGGGGGCATCCTAGCTCACGCCTTCTTCCCCAAGACCCACCGAGAAGGGGACGTCCACTTCGACTATGATGAGACCTGGACTATTGGGGACAACCAGGGTATGGCCTGGCAACCATTTCCAGATGGGGCAACTGGAGATTATAGAGAATGGGCACTTGCTGTGGTCCCCGAGCCAGATCCGGAGCCCGGGAGGTGTGCGGCGGGGAGGGGTGTTCCTGACCCACCTCCCTTTTTCAGGCACAGACCTGCTGCAGGTGGCAGCTCATGAATTTGGCCATGTACTGGGGCTGCAACACACAACAGCAGCTAAGGCCCTCATGTCCCCTTTCTACACCTTCCGCTACCCGCTGAGTCTCAGCCCAGATGACCGCAGGGGCATCCAGCACCTGTACGGCCGGCCGCGGCTGGCCCCCACCTCCCACGCCCCAGCCCTGGGACCCCAAGGTGCAATAGACACCAACGAGATTGCACCACTGGAGGTGAGACTTGGGCGGGTAGAAACACAGGAGGTGAGGCCCTGTCCCAGTGCCCCCTTCCACTCCTTCTGGCCTCTGTGGCTCCTGTGAGGCCTCTCTTCTGGCTCCTTTTCCCCACCCAAGCCGGAAACTCCACCAGATGCCTGTGAGGCCTCCTTTGATGCCGTCTCCACCATCCGGGGCGAGCTCTTCTTCTTCAAGGCCGGCTTTGTGTGGCGGCTCCGTGGTGGCCGGTTACAGCCCGGGTACCCTGCACTGGCCTCTCGCCACTGGCAGGGACTGCCCAGTCCTGTGGATGCAGCCTTTGAGGATGCCCAGGGCCACATTTGGTTTTTCCAAGGTAAGTGGGGTTTGAAAAGCAGCCCAAGAGACTTCCTGGAGCCAAGAATGTCAAAACAAGGGTAGCAACAGATAAACAGCTCTCCAGGGACATAATACAAACAGAGAAGTTGCCCTGAAAGCTCAGATCCAAGAGAGAGCATGGCTCACTCCTTGGTCACAGCTGGGCTCTTATGTCCCCTTTCTACACCTTCTGCTACCCACTGAGTCTCAGCAGAGATGAGTCTCAGCCCAGATGACCACAGGGGCATCCAGCACCTATATGGCCAGCCTCCCAAGGAGGCAGCTCTTGAGATCAGAATAGCACTGAAGATATTGCATATAGGGGCATCACGTGTATTGGTGCACTCTACCCTCAAAGCCACCCCTTGGGTGTGGGGTTCTGGAGGTGGTGAAGTGATTCACTTGAGGGCGCAGCTTGGAAAATGTACAGCAGGGATCTGATTCAGGTCTGGTGACCTGGCACTTGTACTTTCCACTCTCAGCTTGCAGAGACGAGAGCTTGGAGCATTCCAGGTGGCAGAACTTCATATACAAAGAGGAGACTCTGTGTGGGTTCCATTGTAGCTAGGGACCTTCTAGGGCAGGGGCTGGGCTAGGGAGTGGTCAGCAGGCATTTCTGATAGGCAGCCATCCTGAGGGAAAGAGGAACCCCAAGCAGGCCTCTGTTGATTAGAATAACCTCATTCATGTGCTACTTTATAGGCTTCACTGCCGCTGTTTCCCAGTTGGCTCCAACCTCCCTTTGGGGATAGGGGTGCTGAACAGACATTGGCCCATAGGTTTCATGGACAAGGACACTGAGGCTGGGAGAGACTGTGGTGGTGGCCCAGCAGCTCCACAGGGGTTGGGAGTGGCAGCAGTGCCTTGACAGCTCCTTGCAGCCTTCACTCTCTGGCAGGTGCTCAGTACTGGGTGTACGATGGTGAGAAACCAGTCCTGGGCCCTGCACCCCTCTCTGAGCTGGGCCTGGTGGAGACTCCAGTCCACGCTGCCTTGGTTTGGGGTTCTGAGAAGAACAAGATCTACTTCTTCCGAGGCGGGGACTATTGGCGTTTCCACCCCAGCACCCAACGTGTGGACAGTCCTGTGCCCCGCCGAGCCACTGACTGGCGAGGGGTGCCCCCTGAGATTGATGCTGCCTTCCAGGATGCTGACGGTGTGTTGGAGGGTTGCAGGGGGTGGGGAGGGCGCACAGAGCTGGTGGGATGTGGGTACAGTGGCTGCATCTACCACCAGGTGGTGGCTGGTTCCTCACATCTACTTTGGGAGGCCCAACTCTTTATCACAGGTCCTTCATCCAGTGCCATCTTCTCTCCTGGTAGCCGGCTGGTGCTATAGCCCATGTTGGAGATGAGGAAACTGAGGGCCAGAGAGGTTCAAGGAATGCCTAGATCCCTCAGTCACAGCCTCTTTTTTTTCCCAGTACTTGGGACTGAACCCAGGGTCTTTGCACTGAGCTACATCCCCAGTCCTTTTTTTATTTTGAGATAGGGTCTTGTTAAGGTCAAGCTAAGCTCCAACTTGTAATCGTCCTGCCTCAGCCTCCCAGAGTACTGGCATGCACCCCCATGTAACACTTTACAAACCCAGTTTTCAGAGGGGCAAAGAGAAGCTCAGATTCCTAGCTGGAGCCATTGAGATGGACAGTGATGGGGCCAGAACTCCCATCAGATAGTCTCCTCTTCTAACCTGACCTCCTCCAAGCACAGAAGCCTACAGCCAGGCTGGAACTCAGAGCCCAGTGACCTCACCTGCCAGCCCATCTTTGCTTCTGTTTTTCCTCATTGGGAGCCACTGGAAGAGCTGTCTTAGTGTGGCCTCTGGTTCTGGAACTCCAGGATGCCACCTCTGTAGTCTGATTGGTAGATGAGGAAGTAGGGTAACAAAGAGGTTGGTGAGGGGTGTGGTCCCTGCTTTCTTAAGAGATAAGAACTGAATCCTCAAGCTCCTGGCATCTGTCAGGTTGCGTGTTACCCAAGAGTGGACCCTGGTGTAGCCAGAAAGGCTGCCTGGAGGGAAAGGAGGTTCTAGAAGGCTAGCTTGGGAGCCTGCAGGTTTCAGGAAACTTGGCAGTAGCCAAGGCCTTCTCATCTCTTTTCACCCTGTACCTGTCCCCGATAGGCAGACATGGGGCCCAATGTCGTCCACTTGCCCAGGCCTGACCTTTTTCTCTCTTTAGGCTATGCTTACTTCCTGCGTGGCCACCTCTACTGGAAGTTTGACCCTGTGAAGGTGAAGGTTCTGGAGGGTTTCCCCCGTCTTGTGGGCCCTGACTTCTTTGGCTGTGCTGAACCTGCCAATACTTTCCACTGACCACAGCTTGGATACCTTCAGGGACTCTGACCCCTGTCCGGCCACTTGTATCAGGATAGAGACCCACAGAAACCTTTGTGGCTCTGGAATCGGCATGGGACAGAGCCTTTGTCTCTTCTGTGGGGGTGCGGGGTAGGAGTGGGGGTGGGAGGTGGGTGAGGGGTGGTGGGGGTACAATCACCATGACAACTGCAGGGAGGGCCATGCGGGTCATGGTCACCTGCCAGCAAATGTTTCAGATTGGGCAGGGAGGCTATGGCATTACTTAAAGGAGAGTGGTCTTGGGCCAGCTATACCCACCTGTGCAGGTCATGGCTAAACCTGGGTCTCCATCACTGTGCCTCAGGGTAGGACCTCAGCAGAGATGGGGAACTGCAATGTCCTCACTCTATCCCTGCTTTGAGGTTCCTTTGGGTACTGGTACTAGAGCTGGGGTGCCAGGGTCCCCATGACCTTCTGCTCTGGCCAAGCAACTGGGCCTCCAGGAAGGGTCCTTTCCTGAGATGTCAACTCTGGGTAGATGCTTGAATCTGGATCACCTTCTGCCTGGTGATCCTAGAGATCTCTTCCCCAGGGTTCTGGCCAAAATGTCCACAGCCAGCTGGGGTAAGGTCTGCTTCCCCCTGGAGACCCTGAGGCCTGCAGGCCTCAACATACCTCAGTCTTGTCCAGGCCATTTCCTCCTGAAGCCCTCATTCTAGCACTGGTATCCTCCAAAGCAATGTAAATGTGTGTACAGTGTACAAAACAAAGCCTTTTTTTTTTTTTTAAAGCTGAGGAGTATCATTAAACACAATTGTTTTCTACCTGCCTGTCTGTTCTCTTTGACTGTGTAGCCAGGTGGGGAACCCAGGCTAACGCAGACCCTGGGCTGGGAGCTAGAGTTGAAACCCCTTTTCCCTAAGTTTCTGGGCCCTGGGGCACAGTGCCCAAGGCTCTTCCTGCTCTATTCCTGTTACATCTGTAGGGACAGCTGCAGTGGCTTCTTCACCAGTTCCCTGCCTTCCCACCCGGCCCTTCAGTTCATGCTCCTACTTGGTGGTCATTTTATATGATTTTGCCATAACCCAGCCGTATTCTAAAATAGCTCGATCATAACACAGCAAAACTCATGGTTACGGCCACCACCCTTTCCAGTTGTCCAGCCACCCCTTGCACTGCCTTCCAGCCCCATGTGTCTTCATAATAGAACCACCAAGCCTGGTGCATGCCTGCATTCCCAGCATGCTACAAAGCTGAGACTGCAAGTTTGAGCCTAGCCCAGGCAACCTGCCAACATAGTGACTTAGCAAAACCCATAGTGACATGGTGTCTCCAAAAAAATACGTAAAGGCTGGGCATGGTGGCTTGTGGGTGTAATCGCTGCACTCAGGAGGGTTGTGGTGCTCAAGGCCAGCTTGGGCTACACAGTGAGTTCAAGGCCAACCTAAACTACATAGTAAGGCCCTGTCTCAAAAAAAATAAAATAAAAAAAAAATAAATAATATATATAGAGAGAGATATACAGATATATAGATAGGTATCTGTACGTGTCTATATATCTGTAGACGTAGCTCAGCGTAAAGGCCCTGGCTTCAAAACAAAAAGCACCTATCACAATCACAGCTGCAGTTTTATTGGACTGAATTGTATAAAATCACAGTGGGCCATTTGTGGCTTACAGCATTGTTCAGATACAGGAACTGCTCTGACACTTTCCTTAGTGTTGGTTGAGCCCCAGGGGTGCCACGGCTCAGAGCCAGGGCTTACAGGCACAAAGCGCAGAGCTAAGGAAGGACTGGAGAAGGCGGCTTCCCTTCCGCGCTCCTGCGTTGCACGGGCCAAACCAAATACCACCTGGGCCTTTAAACACTGCCAAACCCCAGACAGAGCCTCTGCCCCAGCCAACCCCAACCCCAACCCTGCTGTCGTTCTGCCCAGCCGTACAGCCGCAGAAACAGCTGTGGGCTCAGAGCTGGGATATCTGTTCCTAGGAGACCTTTTATCTGCTCAGCTGCACTGCGTTTTCCAGGTGGGGAAATTGAGGCGCCAGCCTGAGGTCACAAAACATGCTCAGGCCACTCAGGCTTTCAGATAAGTCTTCCTCCTGGCCTTCAGGCCCCATTTCCTTTTTTCGCCCCTGGGCTGAGAGCCAGTCCCAGCTGTGAGACTACAAACGCCACCGCGTGAGTCAGGGAGAGCCCCGGTGGCTATTTCTGCCCGTGAGAAGCTTTCCACGCACCAGACTTCGGCGGCAGCCTGGAGTGGAGGAGAAACTAGTCCCGGCCCCTTTAAGGTGTCAGCCGGGGCGCGCCTGGCCTTTTGTTTAGACGGCGGCGGCCGCGCGCGCGTTAGCGTCAACGCCCGCGCATGCGCACTAAGGGAGGCCTGGTCGTCGCGGCAGCTGCTTAGGATCCTGGTGGTAGCGCGAGCGCTAGCCCGGCCCGGCCTTTGCCTTCTGGCCTCGGTTCTCCTCAGCCGGGTGCCTTCTAGCCCCGCCCCAGCCTTCTTGAGTCCTCACAGCCCGGCCTTGGCCGCCCCCTAACCCCTCTGCCGCAATGATGATGATGGCATTGAGCAAGACCTTCGGGCAGAAGCCCGTTAAGTTCCAGCTGGAGGACGACGGCGAATTCTACATGATCGGCTCCGAGGTAGCCCCCGGCGCGTTCTCATCCTCCCAGGCTCCGGCCCCGCTGGAGCCCCGGGGCGGGCCCTTGCGCCTGGCGCGGGAGCGCGCGTCTCCATTCATCGCGGCGGCGGCGGCGGGCGCGCGCGTGCTTGGGCCTGCGGGGCGTGCCCCACTGGGCGTGGCCTGGCGGGCGTGACCAGACGGGCTCGTAAGCGTAGACCTCGGTTTATTTACCCATTGCTGGGGAATCCGGGACGCACCGTGCTGCCCGGGTTTAAGGTGCCACTTGTCCCCCTTGTGAGCTGGTTCAACTCTAGCCAGACGCAATGAAATAGGATGTCCCGATTATCCCTTGTGGCTCTTAGGGGCGCGGTGCATTACTGCTCTTGGACCTTTTTGGATGTTGCAAATCTCATATGCGCCCCCACTTTCCCTCTAAGGGGGTCGTCAAATTTCCAGTTACAAGCCTGAAGCTTTAGGCTCATCCCTTTCGTGTTTTTTGCGTCTGAGGTGGGCGGTTGGGATGTTTTGATCTTTGTTTATCTGTTTGTTTTTTGTCTTTTTTGAGACAGGGTCTCCCTGTGCAGTTCTGGCTGGCCTTGAGCTCATTTTGTAGCCCAGGCTGGTCTCGAACTTGATCTTTGTTTATCTGAAGGAATAGGTTGAGGGAAGGGTGTTTGCTTTGGGGGTGGAGAAGTTCCCGGTGGTTGGAGCTTTCAGCAATTCGGAAGCAGTTGACACTTTGGATGTTGGTGAACTGATTCTGAATTATTACAGGGAAAGACCCTAAAAATCTTACTCTTTGTCTGGAAGTGGAAGCGTTTTGTTGAAAAAGCTGACTTTTTTTAGGAACTGACGGTTGCCCTTAAGAAAAATCCCTACAGTTGGCCTTTCATTGTAGGTTTTTATTGAGTATATTGTTTGGAGATTATTTTAAATTAGCCTTTTTAACAGCAGTACTCAAGTCGTTTATGTTTCTTTTATTTAAACCCCCTTTCTTGCTAGAAGGAAGGGTTTTTGTTTGTTTTTGTTTTTTTCCGGTACCAGGGATTGAACTCACGAACTTGCGCTTGCCAGGCAGGCGCTGTGCCGCTGAGCTAAATCCCCAGCCCATATGTTTCTTTTATTTAAACAACTATGGATATAAAATTCAGTTGTGCAAATGCCAAGCAATAGAGTTCCTCGTGTAAGGAGGTAAGTGCCAACTCTGGACGGTGTGCTTTGCAGAATACCGAGGATTACCTCTCTGTGCCTCGGTTTTCAGCTTCACACTCCAACATTTCATTCACGTTTTTTGTTTCAGTTGTGGACAGTTGAGCAGAACATGCTGAATGAAACTCGGAATGGTCACCCTGAAGTTTTCAGGACACCCCATGATTCCTTGTCTTAGCTGTGTCAAGTTATGAAGCCAATGATGTCAGTAGTGTCAGAGCTTTGCTGCC